AACTCTCTCATAGGAGAAAAATGCAAAGAAGACAATGAAGCACATCACAGAATAACTGCTAAACTACAAAGACCAAAAAAAAAAAAAAAAAAAAAGAAGAAGAAAGAAAGAAAGAAAAGGAATTTCAGTCCAAGGTGGTGACATACAAGCTCCTGAACTCAACTCTTTTCATGGACACACTGAATCTACTGCTACATATGGAACAATTCTCTCTGGAAGAAATCCAGAAACTAGATGAGCAATTCCTACACAACACAACTATAGAAAAATCATCAAATCACAAAGGAAGAGAGCAAAAGAAGAACAAAAAATTATAAAATAGCTAGAAAACAATTAACAAAAGAGCAAAATTAAGTGCATGCCTATCAATAATTACTTTAAATGTAAATGGACTAAATTCTCCAATCAAAAACAAAGAATGGCTGAATGGATTAAAGAAAAAACCCTCAACAATATGGTGTCTATGAGAGATTCACTTTGGCTTTAAGGACACACAGACTGCAAATGAAAGATGGAAACAGATATTCCATGTAAATGGAAACCAAAAGCAATCAGAAGCAGCTATACTTTTATACCAATCAAAACGGACTAAAGTCAAAGACTATAATAAGAGACAAGGAAGGTCAACATAATGATAAAGGGATTGGTCCAATAAGAGGATTAATATTCATAAATATTTATGCAAACAGTATAGAGCCACCTAAATACCTAAAGCAAATATTAACAGACCTGAAGGGAGAAACAGAGAGCAAAACAATAATGGCAGGGGCTTTAATACTTGAGTTTCAACAATGGATAGATCATCGAGATAGAAAATTAACAAGGAAACATTGGATTTAAACTACACATTCGATCAGACAGACATTTATAGACCCTCCCATACAAAAGCAGGAGAATACACACTCTTCTCAAACATACATAAAATACTCTCCAGGAGAGATCATATGTTTAGGCCACAAAACAAGTCTTATTAATAAATTTAAGATGACTGAAATTGTATCAAACATCTTTTCTAAGAATGGTAGGAAACTAGAAATCAATTATAAGAAAAAACTGGAAAATTCAAAATTCACAAATATGTGGAGATTAAACAACATATTACTGAACAACAAATGGGTCAGAGGAGAAATCAAAACAGAAATCAAAAAATATTTTGAGGCAAATGAAAGTAGAAACTAAACACACAACAATTTAGGAGATGCACCAAAAGCAATTCTGAGAGAGGTTCATAGCAGCAAATACCTACCTGAGGAAAAAAGAGAGGTCTCAAAGTACCTAACTTTATACCTCAAGGAACTAGGGTGGAGACACACACACACACACACACACACACACACACAGGAAGAACAATGCCAAAAGTTAGTAGAAGGAAAGAAATAACAAAGATAAGAACAAAAGTAAATGAAACAGGGACTAAAAAGAAAACAGAAAAGATTAAGGAAACTAAAAGCAGATTCTTTGAAAAGATAAACAAAATAGACAAAACTTTAGCAAATTAATATAAATCATTCTCAAACTATTAAAAAAAATTGAAGGAGGAATCCTTTCAAAATCATTTTACAAGAACTTCATTAAACTGTTATCAAAATCAGACAACATTCGAAGAAAAGAAAATCACAGGACAAAATCCCTGATGAACAGAGATGTAAAAATCCTCCACAAAATATTAGTAAACTGAATTCAATAAAATGTTAAAAAAAAATCATACACCATGACCAAGTAGGATTTATTCCAGGGATACAAGAATGGTTCAACATCTGCAAAACAACCAACATGATACACATTAATGAAATGGGGGAAAAAAAGAATCAAAATCATCTCAATAGATGCAGAAAAAGCATTCTACAAAATTCAACATCCACTCATGATAAAAAGTCTTAAATTAGGTGAAGAAGGAATATATCGCAACATAATAAAGGCCATATATGACAAGCCCAGAGAAACATCATACTCAACAACAAAAAGTTGAAAGCTTTTCCTGCAGGACCAGGAACAAGACAAGAAAGGCCATTTTCACCACTTTTATTCAACTTAGTACTGCTAGTCATAGCAATAAGGCAAGAAAAAAAATAGAAGGTATCCAAATTAGAAAAGAAGTAAAACTGCCCTTCTTTGCAGATAACACGATATATACAGAAAACCTAAAGACTCCATCAAAATCTGTTAGAACTAGTGAATTAATTCAGTAAAGCTGCAGGATAATAAATCAATATAAAAATATTAGTTGTGTATCTATTATTTCAGGACCCCTGAAATCATGACCTGAGACGAAGGCAGAAACTTAACCAACTATGCTATCCAGGCAAAAAACAGTAATTCTTCCTCTACCTGGTAGAATTTTTTCAGTTTCTACCTTTCATTTGGAAAGGGAAATCAGTTTGTAAATTCAAATATGCTAATCCTTCAGAAAATAGTACCATTATATTTTTGGGTACTGAAATTTCTTTAATCTGTCATCAGTCTCCCAACAATACTATCAAACAGTCTGTATAATTTTCATAAAAATTAATGGGCCAGGGGCTCCTCGGTGATTCATTTGGTTGGGCACCTGACTCTTGGTTTCGGCTCAAGTCATGACGGGGTCCTGAGACTGAGCCCCATGTCGGGCTCTGCATTCAGCAGGGAGTCTGCTCCTCACCCCTTCACTCTCTCTCTCTCAAATAAATAAATAAATCTTTAAAAAAATCAATAGGCCAAAGGAAAACTGTTTCCTCCTTCCGAGAGCTTTTATAAAAGTCAAACATAACATAAACTGAACACCTATTATATATCAGATACTTTTACATGTGTTACATCATTTAATCTCTTATTAATCACCTTTTCCAAAAGAGAACATTGTAATTCAGAATGGTTAAACATGGTGTCAAAGATTATACATATAATAACAAAAGCCAGGCTTTGATCCTAGGTGTGTCTGTTTAACAAAGCCAAGATCATTCTACTACCAGGGTTGGAAACTCAAAAACAGCCAGAGAGTTACTGTTTTAGGTTTTTCGGACCATATGACCCTGTCACAGCTACTTAACTGTGCTGTTGTAGTCCAAAAGCAACTATAAACAATATGGAAACAAAAGTAGCTGTGTTTCAGTAAAACTTTATTAACAGAGAGTCAAATTGTCAATCCCTCCACTATACTACAATGCATCTCCTGCTAAAGAACCTCTATTAAGTTTTTATTAACATCACCAAATTGTACTGTATCTCTCTCTCCTTAAAAAATTATGACTTTCATCTTACTGGGTAATGTTATTTTAATGCTTTTCTTATTAGGCTCCATTATTTGAAACAGGTTACTCTTGGAGGAATACATTTAGTCTTTTACATATTCTAACTATAATGTCAATTATATCAGAAATTAATCTATAAATAAGATGAAACACTTCTAAAACTATATTACTTGCATGCACTAACTTATCAGTGTGAAAATGTCAAACATCTGTATTTAAATTTCTCCCTTTGAACTTTTTTCAGTTATTAGTATCTAATTTTAATTGCTCAATCTATATTTAATAAGCATAATCACCACAAGGCTCCACACAGCCAAGCAACAGGAACAAATATCCTCTTTTAATTAAACAAAATGATCATAGATGGGAGTGCCTGGAAGGAGCAGTCAGTTAAGCATCCGACTCTTAGTTTCAGTTCAGGTCATGATCTCCAGGTTGTGAGATCAAACCTTGCATCAGGCTCTGTACTCGGCAAGGCATCTGCTTGGGACTCTCTCACCCTCTCTCTCTGCCCCTCCCCCTCACATATTCCCTATCTCTCTAAAATATATAAATAAATCTTTTTTTTTTTTTTTTTAATGATCATATATACAAAAGTGACCTAAAGACACAGAACTCAAAGACCTTATTTTTTGGAAAGGCCCTTCACTCCCTTATTCCAAAATTTAATATGTGCCATCACTGAGATTGTTATTTTTAAGATTTAAACGGTATAAAATTGTATAAATAGGAAAGAAATATTCCTCTTGTCTACCCTACCTACCTTCCTCACACACACTTGCGTACCCTTGTGCACGCTGGCTTTCTGTTCTGCCTGTCTGCCTTTCTCTGACTTACACACACACACACACATACACACACACACAGTGTATTTCAAAAACACAATCCAAGTCCAAATAATACACAAGATCAGGCTGAATAACAATTGCACACACAAAACACAGAAGATTCAAAAACATATGAACAAATTCAAATCCCAGCTCTACCACTAAAACCAGTTGAATAATTACTTACTAGCTTTGTGCCTTCAGTGACTACCTACTGAACCTCTATTAATCTGTTTGCTCATCTATAAAAATGGGGGGAAAGCATACCCCACTTCACGTGGTTATTGTGGGCATTAAAGTGAATGGAAGCGGCAAGCCTACAGCATGGTGTTGATACGTACGTACGTAGTCAAGTACTTAAAACTTGCTGCTGCTCTTACTCCCATCACCACCTCCAACATCACCAATCTGGGACAAGCCTTACTAAGACCTGTTGTTATTCCTGTACAACATGGGAAGAGCACTGTTTCCAATGGTGTATATATAACAATAACTTTTTAAAGGATCTTGCAAATTCTTCTTTTTGTTATTATTAAAAGTCAGAGGGGAAAAGTCCTTTTTTCTCAAAAATTTAACATTCCTTTGAGTGCCTTTAAAAAATTAAAGTCTATCTTTACACCTGAAAGGAAACAAGAAATTAACATTTTTCACTTACTCTCTCATTGTTGTAGGTATTTTTAAACCCAAACATATATACTGAAAGATCTAATATGTTGCTTTTTCAAGAAAGTCACTCAACCCTAATAAATAATCATAAATGGATCTGGTTAAAAGGGAATGGCAGATTAGGGCCTACTTTCTCAATCCTAATATATTTTAAAATTCACCAAATTTGGAGTTTATTTTTGTTGCTTTTTGTTTTCAATCTTCCGCACTTAAAGGAACCCCACGTTAATAACTGTATGCCATAGTCGTTCTAACATTAGTGGATATAAACATTTCTTACCAAGTTACGCTTTTTTACTGGAAGAAAGTAATAATAGTGGCAGAAAGAAAACATCAGAGCGTAGGAAGTAAGAAGTTCCGTGTAGAAACACAACTGCAGAAAAAGCCAATGATTATCTTCACCAACACAATTGTTAATCCTGAAGAAAAAAGGAAAACAGAAATAATATTTTAAACTTTAATAAGATGTTCACCTCAGGACCGGTAAAAACTGAAAATAAACACAAACAACTTTATATAGGCTTGACTTTATGGAGATCCGCTAATGCCACTGAAACCTACAAGCAAACAGTACACAGCAACAGACAGACTCTAAATATGCCACCTCGCATTTGCAAAGCACTCTCTACTTTACAAAGGAAGTCCATGGATACGGCTGCCTTCAACTCACAACCACCCGGTGTGGCAGGAAGAGCAGATGGCAGTCTCCTCGTTTCATTGGTATGGAAACAGGAACAAAAGAGTGAAGACACTTGCCAGAGGAAGCGAAAGTAGCCAAGAGAACAAGAACCTTCTTCTGTATATTGCTCTCCCATTACAGCATCCCAGCTGCGGAGAGCAATTTGAATGATTCAAAGTAAGAGGACTGAAACCTGACACTCTGACCTTCCTGCTAAGCATCCCAGTTCTTCTTACTTTTCAATTCTGCCCTTTGTCGCTAAAAATAAATGTATATACCCACAAGTATTTACAAATTCTTAGAGCTACACTTCCACCATGACAACAGGGAATCACAGCTAGGAAAAATAATTAATGTGATAATCCTAAAATTTTCAAGTCTAATGCAGGTTGAAAACTGCACCATTCCAAATTTTCAGAATATTTTACAATTCCCACAGAAAACCCTAGTTCAAAACAATAACTTACCTTGCTCAAATGTTTTCATTTCATTATAGCATTATACTGCTATTGTTTGGGGGGAAAAAAGATATAATTGGTTCACTGCTAACAAACTGTTATTTCAAAAGTGTATCATTAAACTATTTTTTTAACTCAGATATAGAACTAAATCCAAAACCCAAAGAGGCATTTCCTAAACTTAAGAGCTCATGCTTGGTAAACCATTAAAGTTCCTGTGTATGGGGACTTGCAAGGGGGGTCTTCACAGAAGTGTGTTCATGTGTGCCCTCAAACATACTCTCCAACAGCTGTGACTTCAAACACTTCTCCTCATCCCACCCTCCTTGACCCCACCTGCTTTAATGATGGCATTCTTAACCAGAGAGCTCTGAGAAACATGAAGATAGTCTATAAGTAAGAGTTCTCTTGGTAGCAAACTATTCAAGGGGCCAGAAAGAGAGAAAAGCTCCAGGTGAAGTGAGAACTGACCTTCATATCTAAAGCTGTTAGTCAGTGAAGAAATGCAGTTTCTGAAAATATAAAAAATATTCCCTGCTTTCATTTCACACTGTCCATTTTCCTTACCCTGTGACTACGTTGGCAATGCCCTATTAAGGAATTCAGTCACCAAAGTCCCTGGGATCTATTCAAGGCCTCTGATCTACCCTCCTTCCCTACCTCCAACTCCTTCTACTTCCACCTTTCTTCCCATAAGTACTCTGAGAAGTTGAAAACCCACGGAACAGGCGGACAAACAGAGAGCTCACCCGAATCTTGGAATTTAGATTAACAGCACATTTTTCTGTCACCAAGTTAAGCCCTATTCCTTAAAAATAAAGAAAGGATGTCGCTAATCTCTACAGGACCAAAACATCTCTTAGTTGATTATTTTTTAAGCTTAAACTCTAGCATTCTTTTGAAAGGAAGTATCAATATCCAACCATAACATGAACATTTATTATATTCTTAGTTAATCAGAAACATTGCTCTAAAAAAGGTTACACAATTGAGTTTTTCAGTGTGGTTACTACTTGCCTAATAATACATGTTTTACCTAGCCTTTTGTTTTTTAATGTATTACTACTGTAATTGTAAACAGATCACTGAGGTTTAGGAAGTCACTTGAGAATTTGTTTAAATTCGAGGCACATTTCTTAAACATCAGCTATATATTATACACTATACTATCCCATTGATGGACTTAAACAATTTGAAACTTCTTTTATATAATAACAAAATGCTTTTATCTAAAATGCTTTTATTTTTCCTAATCTCAGGAAATTACCTTCTGTTTAAATAATCAGTTTACGGTAAAAATCAAATTTTCACGAAAAGCTTGCAAACACTAACTTGTGTTAGCAGAGTGAAGTCATCAAAAACATGGGAAACTCTAAATTGGTCAGCATCATTTGGGAAAGCTAAACTCCATCAAGGAGTCAACTATAGATAAATGCAGTGATAAATTTAAGAAGCCCATTGTGCAGTTTACTTTGTATATGTGCCTGTATGTGTGTACAAACATAAATATATATGTATTTAGATATATTTACAAAGTGCTACACTATACTAGTTTAAATATTTATACAGAGATCCCATGCTAGGAAAACAGAATTAAATACAATATCTTGTTCACAGATTTTTGTGACAGCTTTGAAATGAGATACAATGCAGAATTCTCACAGCATTTGTTTTCAACATTCTTTTTCTCAACTGAACTGTTTTTAAAAATATTACTAGAGAGCCCCCTATTGACCAAAAATGTTGGTTCAGTGGAATCAGCTAACTACCACGGACACAGATCGAGCTCACATGTAACCTTAATACCTGCGTCCGATACATAATATTGAAAAAAGCTTACAGGGGTAAAGATGAGGTTATCAGGGTATCTGAGATGTGTTATTCTTTAATTAAACAACTGGAAAGGGAAATACAAACCATGCAATGTATATGGTTTATTACAGTTAGAGACAATAACAGCTATTATTTGCTTTTTATGTGTCAGATACTCACTACAATGGTTTTACATACATTGCCTCATTGAATACAACCATCTTAGGTCTCTTGTACACGTGGGTGCATCTGAATGTCAGTTTTCTGCTCCAATGCCTCTTTGTTAGAAAAGACAGGATCTCTGTGCAAAAATGACTTTGGCAGTTGATAGAACCTGATAGAATAAAGCTATCCTTACTGAAGGATTTTTTTTTAAACTGCATGACTTTAACATAACTTTTATTTAAATCTGCTAAGTACTAAGATTTCTTTTTTACTATTTCTTTTTCTGAAAGTAAATCATAGATTTCTTACCATGGACAGTGATGATCCATTCTCCTAACACAGTGGCCGCAGCGGCTACAGTGATGGGAACGCTTTGGTCTCATCAAATTACATTTGTTACATAATTCCCAGAACTCCCGTTCTAGAGAAGGAAATTAAAATCCATTTAATAAAGGCAAATGAGTAATGTTGAAATTTAGCAACAACAGTTTAGATTTTTACAGGAAGTCTTCGATATATGTGTCCAAGAGATTTTTCTTCTTCTACATCTTCACTGTAGAAGAGTTTGCCATAAATATTGCTTCTCTATTCTATGCATGGCTTACTCTATACATTCCTAATTTTAAACACTATAATAGTTAAGACACCATTAATGTTAAACTGAGGGATAGAAAATAATATATTTGGGTTATGGACATAATTGCTGTAAGTAAAATTTAATAACAAAACCCAAAAGTACAACCAAATTATTATATGAAAATAGAATTTTATGTAAACAAATTAATTTCTCAAAATTTTATTAAAGACTCTAAAGAAGAAATAATACTGAATCCTAGTTTCACTGACTGAGAAGTCAAAATCAATCCTATGAGACAACTGCGTGGCTCAGTCAGTTGAGCATCTGCCTTGGGCTCAGATCATGATCTCAGGGTCCCAGGATCAAGCCCTGCATTGGGCTCCCTGCTCAGCAGGGAATCTAGCTTCTCCCTCTCTCTCTGCCTCTCTTCCAGCTTGTGCTCACTTTCTCTCTCTCTCGCTCTCTCTCTTGCTTACTTGCTCAAATAAATGAATAAAAGCTTTTAAAAAAGAATCAATCCCATAAACTCATTAGAAAAACAAAGATAGCATTCTCATCCCCTAACCATTTTATGTTTTTAATATCAGTGAATTCATTTGGGAGTGTTTATGGGAGAGGGTTGGAAAAGGGTTTCAGATGGGTTTAGGAGGAATTAGAATGATTTCAGAAGTAAAGAAGATTACAAGAACGTTATTATTTAATGGAAATAAGGGAGTTCTTTACCAAACTCTTTCTTACCACCAAGGAGCAATTTCTTTTACCTTGTAATTAAAGAGCACACATTTAAGTTTTGTGCTAAAAACATTAAGTTTACATACGTAAAAAGTCATTTATTTCCATTATAAACCCTTCTAATCAGATCTATAAGAACTATATGAAAGTCATCTACCAAGACAACTGCTTTATTATACAGAATGTATCTATTTCATATTTGTTGAAATGGAACTTTACTTTTACAAAATTCTTAAACCTTCCATCACTTATATTTAAACTACACTCTAACCTTGTTAAAAGCATGGGTATAGTAATATCAACCCAATTCCCATTTTGAGTGAATATTCGTATATGCAAAGTATGATCCTAGCACATAGTAGGTGGTCATTAAATGCTTGCTAAAGTATGAATTTTTAAAAACAAAAGATTCTAAATGTAAGTAAAAGAAGACAATAGTAGGTAGTATTCAATTTTCTAAAAGATACCTTATTTTAATTCCATTATTTTAGTTTAATGACCGGGAGTAAAATCAATATACTGGAATTTTATAGAGTGAAGTATTAGGAAAACATTCTACATAGAAGAAACCAATAATAATGATAATAATAACAATAATATCAAATTAATTGTTCCAATAATATTAAAGTTGAGAAATTAATTTTTACATTTAAAATTTCTTTTTTTTAATTATTTAAATTCAATTTCCTTAACATATATTATATTATTAGTTTCAGGGGTAGAATTTGGTGATTTGTCAGTTGCAAATCACATCCAATGCTCAACACATCATGTGCCCTCCTTAATGCCCATCAGCCAGTTACCCCATCTGCCCACACAACACCCCCTCCAGCAACCCTCAATTTATTTCCTAAAGATCCTCTTTCATTTCTTACTTACGTTCTTATTTTTAAAAAACTTCCATGAGAAAGCAACATTAAAGTTTAATTTAGATCGTTAAACTAGTATTATTTAACTATAACTGAAATGAAAACTCATTTCATATGTAGCACAATACAGTGTCATAAGCAGATGCTTTTCCCACTTAGCTAGATGCTCCCAAACATCCCAGTGTTAAAACTCTGAATTCACATATTGCAAGGAATATATTCAGGAAGCAGACTCCCTCTGATGAGCCAATTTTCATTAAAAGACAACAGAAAAACTTTAGTTTTTAAACTAGTGCCTTAAAATATAAATATGGCATATTCATTACTGGTCATTTCAGCATATGATGTTCTAGAGAGTAAAATTCTTTATTTCATACTTGACATGTTGTGTCCTCGGAAAAGAAGACAGCATTTGGTTATAGCGAGAGAAATCCTGTAATTGTGTAGTCTAGACCATGGGGTGGCAAACTATAGTCCACAGGCAAATCCAGGCCACCACCTGTTTTCATGGGCTAAGAATGGTTTTTACAATTTTCAACAACTGAAAATAAGAATGTGTGATATGTAAAAATCTTGAAATTCAAATTCCAGTGTCCACACATAAAGTTTTATCTGAACACAGTTCAAATGAACACCCATTCATTTACATTTTCCCTATGGCTGCTTTTGGGCTGCAACAGCAGAGCTAAGAGGCTCTGAAAGAGACTGTACAGTCTGTAAAGCTGAAAATACTTACTATCTGGATGTGTACAGTGAGGAAGAGTTTGCCAATCTATGGTCTGGATCATAAGTTTGTTTAAAGAAAGAGCTTGAGCCATTCCACTGGCTAAACTTAAGATACTATACAAGCATCTAAAATGGCTTTGAAAACTCACCATTTTCTCACACATACATACCTCAACTGTTCAGAGAACAAAGAAAAGAATCACTTTTTTAAATACCTAGAAAGTTAACTAAAGTATCATCTACGTTTTTGCCTTATATAGCAAGAAAAAAAAAAATCCATCCATTTTAACCTACCCCACATATCTAAGAAACCATTTCTTGCTCTTCTCCCTTTCCTTCTTTAGGTTTATTCATTCCAAATGTGACCTTGGTGACTAATATATTCTGATGTCTGAAAAATTTTGTACTAGCCATCTAATATAAAATAAAAGCCTATAGGGGAAAAAATCAGAAGGCAAAATGCCATCTGTAAGTGAAGAAAATAAAAATTTTAAATTTAAAAAAGAAAAAAAGCCCATGAGAGAGAGAATTCAATTGCTAATTTATGGTAGCTACAGAAAAATTGACAACTGACTTTTTTTTAAAGGAAAGAAAAACTGAAAAGTGACTTTTTTTAGAGGAAAAAAAAAATCAAAACATAAGACAAATCAAAGAAAAGACAAACCCCATAAATGCCTGGGTAGATCTAAATAAGTAACCTAAGTAAACAGTATTGCACTCTGTAGCAAGGATGCTCTTAATGCTCTTAAATGCATGAATAAATACAAAGTAAGATTTGGTTTTGTTTTGCTATCCCTCAGAAAGAAAGGAATCACCTTCTATTTAAGACTTTTTAAAGCCTTACGGATTAGGCTCTCTCAATTACTGTATTTCAAATCACAAAGTAATGTTTTAGGAAGAAAATATAACCTGAAACGATGAAAATCAATACAACGCTTGGCTCTTCACAGAGGTTTCCTGACAGAATCACTTGCCAATATAGAAAATAAACGGCAGTAAGTCTCTAAAACAGATCTCCTTTAAAAAGCAATATAAGAAATAGGAAGGGGAGCAAAACTACAGGAGGAAACATGACCCTGAGCATTAAAGCACAAGTGTCCCTACCATTGGGGCAAAATTTCAACGGACATGAACACACAAATTTTAAACATGCTACATTTTTTTTTCAAACTTGGAAGATTTTGCTCTGTAATAGGGTGACTACTTGAAGTGGCTCTAATGATGACAAAAACACTGAAGTCAAACATGTGAGTTAAGAGCTTGATGAAGATGTTCTAGGGGCACCTGGCTCAGGTGGTTAAGCCTCTGCCTTCGGCTCAGGTCATGATCTCAGGGTCCTGGGATTGAGCCCCATGTCCGGCTCTCTGCTCAGCGGGGAGCCTGCTTCTCCTTCTCCCTCTGCCCCATCTCACTGCCTGTGCTCTCTCACTCTAATAAATAAATAAAATCTTGAAAAAAAAAAATGTTCTAAAATTGACTGTGGTAGGACCCCTGGCTAGCTCAGTAAATAGAGCACACAACTCTTATCTTATGGGTTATGAGTTCAAGCCCCACCTTGAATGTAGAGTTTCCATACATACATAACTACATAACACTGATTGTGGTAATAGTTGTACAATTCTGTGGACATAAAAAAGCCACTAAACTGTCTATCTAAAATGGGTAAATCATATTATGTATGAATTATACTCAATAAAGCTGTTTTATTAAGGTTAAGAGATTGAATAAAATCATTTCATAAAACTTGAAAATGACATAAAGTAATATTTCTATATTTCAAACATGCATGGGATTAATTGAATATAAATAAACATTTAATTATTTCATTTGACTATTTCATCTACATCCCAAGAACTTTATAAAAATCAAATTCTGGGGATCTTTGTGTGGGACAGAGGAACATCGTCTTATATTCAAACTGCCTCATATATTTGGCAAGTTACATAGACACTAAATTTATTTAAAATCTGTTTTTTTAAAAAAAGAAAGTCATGTAAACTATGTCAGATTAATTCAACTAACACGTGGTTAAAATCAAAAGTATTAGGGCTTAAGTTTCCTTTCCTAAAGAATTCAATTATATGAAACTGCTCAACCTTAAAACAATGATGATAAATGTCACTTTTTATAGACCCAACTCTCTAGTCGTGCTATGTTATTTTTTTCACTGTTAAAATTTTGTATTTTTTACTAAGTTAAAACCGTATTTACAAAATGATCAGAAAATCAGCACAAGGCACATGATGACTTCAATTTTTCCCAGAATCAAAGCAAAGGTGAATAAAAGGCTAAAATTATTAATCTCAATATAGACACGTGGTAAAAGAGGATGGAGACAAGTATTTGAGTGTCACAGCAGATCTATAACAACTCGCTCTGTGACCTAGAGAGGACAATCTACACTTGATTATTCAGTCAAACTACCTCCTGCAATTACCATGAGAATCAAATGACAGGAACTAGTAAAAGACTTTGGAGACATTAAAATACAATAAATGAATGTATTTTTTTCTTCAACTGGGCAAAAGTTAAGTCTTTGGGACTCAGTGGAAAACACTAGGCCAAATGTGAACTGAGATCAGAGAGAATGCAGACAAACAGCAGCAAGGTAACATGGAGTCTTCCATCACCAGGGTCTATAAACTAAAGGTAACAGGGTGGTTTCCTGTAGATTCAATTAGGCATACAGACATCATTTGTTTAGTATTCATCTAAAGCCAATGTTTGTAAAATTTTTAATTAGTTGTTGGGTTTTTTTTTTTAATCATAAAAGTTCTCTTAAAAACTGCAATTCTGGGGCACCTGGGTGGCTCAGTTGGTTGGGCGACTGCCTTCAGCTCAAGTCATGATCCCAGAGTCCTGGGATCGAGTCCCACATCAGGCTCCCAGCTCCAGGGGGAGTCTGCTTCTCCCTCTGACCTCCCCTCTCATGCTCTCTCACTCTATCTCTCTTAAATAAATAAATAAAATCCTTAAAAACAAAAACATAAACAAAAATAAACAAAAAAACCCTCCAATTCTCTGTTTTCTCTTTAAAAATTATAAGATCTATGAATACCGGGCCTACGAGACAATTTCCCTGTAGCTGCTGCTTTTGGATATGAGATTTTCAATATGAAAACGGTTCTTTCTTGGCCCCCTCTCACTGATGAGCAGTATCTGATCCATGTAGGCATTTGAGTGTTTGACCACTGCACGCTGAAGATTTCATCAGAAATGGGTCCTTTTTTCTTTAATGTTCAATTGGCCACCACATTACACATCATTAGTTTCTGATGTAGTGTTCAATGATTCATGAGTTGCGTATAACACCCAGTGCTCATCACAAAACGGTCCTGAGTTAGAAAAGGCTTGCTTCTCTAATTTTCTGGAAACACTGGGCTCTAGAGTTGAAGGAGGCAATACATTCACCAACGTGTTAGAGAGCCTTTCTTTGGGTTAGGCTAGTCGAGAAAAGAGATTCAGTACAAGTTGCAGACTTGCCATTGTCCGCGCCCAAACACACACAAAAACTAACTGCCAGTGATAAGGCTTCTATAAGTGAATAGAAACGAAATACTCCAACAGTTCTCAGAAACTTCTATAGTCATGTAAACATTAGTGTCGTAACACTCCCATTTAATCATTAAACTTGGAAGGCCACGTAAATCCCTAAATGATGGGTTTCAAAAAACAACATTCAGGAACTCAAGGGAGGCTCCCTTAGTGACTTGCCACTAATCTAATTTCAGAAGGAATTAATAGGCTCCCCAATTTTTTATACACTGGAATCACCTGAAATCTTTGAAAAATGCTGATATCTAGCTCCTAGCTCCATACGTTATGATTTAATTAATATGGGATCGGGATCAGGACACTGAGATTTTTAAAAGCTCCCCCCGCGACTCTAATGTCTAATGTCTGCAAGGTCGGAAAGCATGAAACACTATAGAAAGTATTCTCGTTCTCTAGTGTCCAACAAAATCATAGAAATGTCTCCTTAGAAGAAAGTACAGACAGTTCTCAAAGCTGGTAGACCAAATGATCAAAAAGTGAAACTGAGGAAAGAGGGTTCCTGAGGTTTACTACACCTGGCACGTAATAAAACGAGCGATACATTTCGATTCATTTTCGTGGTTCAAATGGTTATTTTGCAATAAGGTGACACAAAACCAACTTCAACTGACACTAGAATAAAAAGCTTTCAATTTTTCACTGAATTTTCAGAACCCGGAAAAATACAGGCAACGGTATCATTATACTACAAATATTTATGCTAAGCAATATTCTATTTATAATATCACCAAGAGAGGGGCACCATCAAAGAGATTCCTTTATTAAATAAAAATGTATCAGGTATTTATGTATCATTCAACAAGCATTTACCAAGCAAGCATCTACTAAGTGACAGAGATGGGCACTAAGGATAGAGCACTGAACAAATGAAGAAAACAAAACAATATCGATATCCTCACAGAGGCTGCATAGATCTAGGGTGTGAGAAGAGAAAAACAAGTAAACTACAAATAAGAGGTAGGGAGTGGGGGATACCGGGGATCAGCTGGGCTTTGCAATTTTAAATAAAGAAGTCTAGGGGAGACTGGGTGATTCAGTGGGCTAAGCGTCTGCCTTCGGCTCACGTCATGATCCCAGGGTCCTGGGATCGAGCCCCCCCATCAGGCTCTCTGCTCAGCAGGGATCCTGCTTCCCCCTGTCTCTCTGCCTGCCTCTCTGCCTACTTGTGATCTTGGTCAAATAAATAAAATCTTAAAAAAAAAAAAAAAAAAAAAAGAAAAGAAAAGAAGTCTAGAAAGGAAACATCAGAGAAGAGACTTGTGAGTGGTGTTAGAGGACATATATAATGAATACATGCTGAAGGCCATAAAGTACATTCACAAAGGTAATAATGCCAAGAGAGCAAAAGTGACCAATCTGAAAAGCGCCATACCTCCATGTGGAATCTTAGGGTTCTCAGGGAGTCTTCCGGGATCAGTAAATGAGGCCCTCACTAAAGCAACCAGACAAAATATGGCAATGCCATAGAATACTTGGAAATAAATGAGAAAGTTAAATAAATGAAATTAGTTATTCATTCTTTAAAACATTTTATCAAAAAGCATATTCAAAGTTTAAATGCATGTTTTAATTAATGCCACCAGAATAATTTTCAAAACGAAAATGGAAAAATTAAATGATTAAATAAAATAAACATTCATTTCATTCATCAAATAATACTGCCAACAGGACTATCTCATACATATTAACTTTAAAATTATTTTGCATAATAACTGATAAACTTGTTATAAATCAGATTTTTTATTAACAGAGATTCCTTGTCAATAATGGCATAAATGAATGGGCTCCCTTTTAATTACTACATGTACAAATATATATTTGACAGAATCAAAGGAGCATTTTAAAACCCATCCTACAATTAAACTTTTTCATTACCTCTAATTGGTTATCTTCCAAATTATTTTGAGTTAGAGACATTCAATTGCTCCTTTTCATAGAGCCTATGCTATTAATGTAATGTGAAAATAAAGATTCCAGGAATTTTGAGTTTTTAAAAGAACTAGAAAAATAACAGTAAGGAAAAATAGACTCATTCATTATAATTCAACCTTTTAAATGAATAAAAAAATGGGCATTTGGCAGAGGTGGGGGAAGACCCCACACCAGTAGTAGGAAATTCAGTTTGAGGGCTAACTCCAGGACTGACTACATGGTACTGGTCAGTTTTATCACTTGTATAACAGCGATTATATTTCCCATAGCATTTGTGAGGCCAAAAGGACATAATGTACAAGGAAACTGCCAATGCCATGTACATGTAAAATATATCATTTCAATCTTATTCTTTTAATCACAAGCAAACCATCACCAAATGAAACTATAGCAGAAAATAATTATCCAGAAGTTCAAAGTATTATCATAATCAACATCATAATCAACAATTTTTGTAACATGAAATTCCCATTTCTCAGTAACGTATATCATCTACATTCTTAAAATTCCTTCCACATTTGAAATAAGTACACAATAGAAACATTAACAATACACACAACACACACAAAATAGCACTATTGTGCCAGTTTCAATTTAAACAAGTCGACCTTTATATATTTCACAGTTAGATATGGAGATGCCACATTTATCCAACCCTGCAAAGTCTGTAAAAGCCAATCTTCTTTAAAATTTCTATAATTTGGTAAGTAACAATATTAATATCACTAATAATATTAAAAGGTTATAGTAGTGATACTATACTCTAAAAATATTCACAATGAGAAAACTACTTATATAAAGAAATAAATATCAGAAACTTACTTATTATTAATATGCCTGGAATATGTCCTTCTTCATAGTGAGGAAAGAGGACAATTTTGGGAATTAAGACAATATTGTATAACCAGACAAAGACAATCAAACCCATGCAGCACCAACCATGCGGGTCAACAACAAAGTGAATCCGGAGACCCATTTTGCAGTCCTACAACTGCGTGCCAACCCACAAGGAAAGACGATCCTACGGAGAGGTGACAAAGAAAAAAGTTACTTATACAGAAAAAAAATCATTCGACTAAAACAAAACTACATTACTGGCAACTATAAAATGACACTGAGTTTTGTTTGTATATTTTTGACAAAATGAAACACATTGGAAAACAAAGAGAAGTTTCAGAGTATTCAAATTTCATCAAAATCTTCAAATAATTTAATTACAACTTTTACTATGAACTGCTACCATAGAGGATAAATTGGCAATAGTTTCTGGAGCTAAACACAAGACTGTCCTCAACCCAGCAATTCCATGTGTCAACCCAAGAGAAGTGAGACACATATCAAAAGATAGATTATTAGATCTATCTAATGATTATTAGATAAGATCAGATCTAATGATCATTAGTCCTAATCATTAGACTAACTGATGGTCATCCAAAATAGTGGTCCTCCTGTGGTGGGAGGGGTGTTTATTAACTGCAAAAGGACATAAGGGAAACTTTGAAGGTCTAGAGTTGTTCTATATCTTGACCTGGGTGGTGCTTCATGGGTATTCACATATGTAAAAATTCACTATGCTGTACACTGAAGATTTGTGCGATTTATTTTAAACCACAAAACAATGCCTAATCATTTTTGAAAAATCATAATAAAAAGCAGAAACTAATCACAAATTGCCAAAAATATTCAAATTCACAGAATAAAGCTCAACTAATCTTGCTATTACCAACTCAAGAAGAAATGGGCTTTTTCCATACGAGTGTTAACAAAATGCTCATCGACCTCCCAGTGAGACACTTAAAGTTGATAGTTCTACGTTTATGGTATCAGAACAAGTTATTTAAAATACATGTCTACCTTAGTAGATATAATTTATAAGAGTTGAACAGGAAATTACTCTGTAAGGTCAAGAGAGCACCTTTTACATAAAATACAATGGAATAATTCAATAATAAACTAGGACAGTGTTTCTCAAACCTGTAAGCGAACCAGAATCAACTGAGGAGCTTTTTAAAAATACTTATTCCCAGGCCCCGTTCCAGATCTACTGAATCATAACTGTTTATGGAATAAAAGCTAAAAAACCAATAAAATGTCTTAAAATGTTCCCCAGATGTCTCTGATAGAGCAGACTGGTGTCTAGAAGCTACTGATCCAAAAGCTTCCCTCAGACTTCAATGCTAGGGCAAGGAGTTGAACTCAGTTCAACAAATCTATTCACGGAGCCACAACAACATATCAGTTACTATAGATACAATGATGAGTGAGATGTGGTCTTTGCCCAAAGTAACTAACAGTCTACTGGGGAAAAGAGTCATAAAAATGGGTTTAACACAACACGTGACATTTCAGAGATGTGGACAAGATGCCACTGGAGGCCTGGAGGATGGGGACTAGTTAAGGTAGGGCAAGGCTTCCTGCAGGTGGTAAAATCTGAGTTCAGTTTTTAAACATGGGTAAAAGTTATCCAAGCAAAGAAAAGTGGCAACAGTGTGACGAACAGAAGGAAGAACAGGAGGTATACAAGAGTAAATGTTGTAGGAGGTATTACAAATTGCCTTCCTACGTCATAAAGCTCACAGTGGAGAGTGAGGGGTGAGAAATAAGGGGCCACATCATGAAGGACACAGAGATGCCACGTTAGAATGCTAAGACTTCATTCGTAGGCACTGGAAATTTCCTGATGCAGGAAGTTAACATGAGATTTTTAACTTTAAATGAAGTATTGAAGCTCTAGGGTCAAGGATAAAATTAAAGATCGGTTAGGCTAAGGAAAGACAAAAGCCAAAAGTAGGTTTGGAGAAGAGATCAACTGAGGAAATAGTTACAATCAAACCAGTATGTTTTACTAACTGACTGGATATTAGGGGTGACAGAGGAAAGACTCAAGAACGACTTCCAGATTGTCATCTTCTATCCCTCACTATGATCAGTTGGAGAGCCTCAGGGTCCTGGCCCTTAGAGGTCATGCCAATGTTCTTTAAAGCTACAAAGCTACAGGGACAAAGAGAAAAAGAAAGATTTAGGATTAGCTAATTTCAAAGTAATACCCTGATCCTATCATCTTTAGAACATGCAAATATAGGAGCAGCAGGGGAAAAAAAAAACCCTCAAATGCAACACTATTCAACTGTTTAAATCAGATATGGTCTAAATTAGTCCTTATGAACAAATTTTAAAATAGGAATAGCACCTAGGCTTTTAAAAAACGTAAAATTTGACCTTCATTACCTTTTAATTAGAAAATTAAAAGAACTATCAGTTATCCTAAAAGTGAGGAAAGTCACAGAGGATAAATTATACTGTTTAATTTACTGGGTATCTTGGTTTTAAAAAACTAAAGGAGCTCAAATACAAATGATAAGCTGTCTGCATAGCTAAAATGAGAAACATTAAAAAGAATGTTTATTTTTACAGTCTTGCCAACCATCAAGTGCCAAAAGAAATGACAGAAGGCTCTGTCTCTCAACATGTTCAATATTATTAATTTCATGTACCTTCTTCCTTGTAATATTTCAGTTCCAGTCAGAACTAAGAAACAGACCATGAGTTCCAAGCATCACAAAGAAGAGAGAACTTCACTACTTATTTCTAAATTTATTAATATTACAAGCAGAAAAGCATACAAGCCAGCAAAACAAGCAGCAGAATTCTCAAACACTCATTCATATTTCTGAACTCTATTTGTACTCTCCTCTACCAGAGAATAACGAGTTTTTCTTAGGAGATTCCTGACAACTGAAAATACTAGACACTGAGAAGTAGAGTAAAGGGTTGCTGATTTTCCTAAGTGTGAGCATATACTGACAGCAAGTTCTAAGAGAACAAGCATCCCCAAGGAAACGCAAGCAGAGAAAAGAAAAACATAACAATGAATAAATAAGATGTTGAATTGTTTTCTAAATACCTGATGAGTGAAAATTAGTGTCACATGAGCTTTACAGCTAGACTGTAGAGAAGCAAACAGTAGTCTTCCAAGAGCTCCAGATCAGATTACAACCAGAAACACGTACCTGGTAGAACTGTAGGATCACTTCCCTCAGCTAATATCTACCAGGCGTGGCTTATGGCTGAACAGAAACTATTACACATCCTGAGCCATGACCAGACCGAACTCAGAGCGCTGCTATCCGATCTGAAGGGTGGCATTTGTAAAATACTTTCCTTAGCTAGAGATCCTGACATGCTAATCTGTCTATTAAAAGGTGAGTTCATAACTCAAACTTTGATGTAACCAGTGGACGTACTGGTACTTCCACATTTTTTAAGATTGCTATCTGGTAACTCTACCTGAGTGCTGTGACTAACTTCATTAATGATGTAAATTACTACAGCACCAACTTTTTTTTTAAAGATATAATTCAACTCTAATAAACTAGACTACATAAATATTTACAATGCCCAAACTATTCTAGGAGGAAACGACCTTTCCTTTTTTGCCTTTTTTGACCACTAAATTTAGTATGTATTTTCTTCAGGAAGAAGACTCGAATCACTATGAAAAGAAAGGGATAGAAAACTATCATAGGACAGAAAACTACAACATGAAAATGCAGATTTTAGAAAATGATAAAAATTAGCCAAGATAATTTACAAGAAATCTAGCCAAATGTTCTCTCGAAACTTGAGAAACTTAAGCCAATGGTTTATAAATGTTCCACGAATATGAAAAAAAAAAAAAATTCCCTCTCTCATTCCTCCTATCTGAAACGTCCCTATCATCTTGTTTACTCTACTTAAATTCAATTCATACTTCAAGGTCAATTTGAATCTCACTCTCCAGACGAAATTTTGCCTGCCACCTCAGCTCACAGTGATTTTCCTCTTCTAAATTCCACAACACAAGGCAAAACTGGTACAAGAAAATAGCAAGTGGTTTTGTAATCTCGAAATGTGGAAGAACCTCATAAGAGACCACATAAAGATTAAAATTTCTGAAGCCTACAACGTACCAAAAATAAAGTCAAAAGACAAAGTATCCCTTTAAAAAAAAAAAAAAGAGGACAACATATAACTGGTAAGAGTCATACAAAGTAAATACACAGAGAAGCAATTCACAAAAGAAAACAAAATTTAATGGCTAATCATTACTGATTAGGAGAATGTGAAATAACTAGGTATGCCTTTTCATCCTTTGTATGCACAAAATTTTGGGAAGACAGATGATCATTCAATGACGAGAGAGCACAGAGAAAAGGACATTCTCATCCATTACAGCTACGCATGTAAACTGATACAATCAACTTTAGAGGGCAATGCAGCAGCATCTATTAAAAAGTCAAACTCTTTGACCCACAGTTGTATCTCTAGTAAGTGCTACCAAAGTACTCATTAGAGTGAGGAGGTACAGATACATTCAAGGTGCTCCACCCACTGCTTATTGTAATCATAAAAATTGGGCACAACATCAATGTTCATGAAGAGGGGGGGGAACTGATCAAATAAATTATAAGACATCCAAGGTGTAGCATTATTTCCAAGCTACTGAAATTTAAAAAATGAAAGAAAGAAAAGAAAAGAAAAAAAGGAGATAGATTTAGATCTGCATATGGGTACACACACGTAGTGTTGAATGAAAGAAAGGAAGTTATGAGAGAAAAGCTTAACAGTGGTTTCCTGGAGTAGAGGAGGATAATGAGAGACTAGGAAAAGGTATAAGGGAACACTCTGGTTCCCTCATAAAGATCTCTATCTTGGTATGAATTTGAGATACACAGGTTGTGCATTTGTCGAAAGTCAACAAATTTACACTTAAGAATGGTGCATTTCATGGTATGTAAATTTACCTTTAAAAAACCCTATAAACCAACATTGAACTCTAGCTAATGATAGTAGGCTGATGTATCAGGGAGGGGCGGAAGGAGGAAATGTATTGATGTCTGCAATTTACTACGAAATGGATCCAAAAAAAATAAAGTGGATTGACGGATGGACAGAGAGATTGTCGAGCATGTGATGAAGTTTAATAAAATATTAGTGGAAGAACTAGGAGGTAGGTATTCAGGTGTTATACCATAAAATTTTTTCAACTCTTCTGTTTAAAATTTTTCACAATTAAATGTTGGTGGGGAAAGAAAATTACAGAAAAGTTCGTATAACATGATTCTTTTTTGTTGTTGTTGTTAAAAAACATGTATTAGTAATTTCTATATATGGATAGAGAAAAAGAAGTATAGAAGAAAACATGTCCATCAAACTGTTAACACTAATGGTTATCACTGGGCTATCTAAAGGACAGAGCAGTGAAAAGAAAGCTTTCACATTTCATGTATGGCTTATGTGTTCTTCTAAGTTTATTAATAAACATATGCACTTCTAAATTCTTTTCAACCAGCTGAAAAATAAAGATTGCTTAGGGGTTCTGATGAGACAATACAACCTTGTACATAAGATGTTTAATTTAAGCTCTCTTTATCATTATATTTATTACCCTAATATTGTTTTTAAAATTAATCTTTTTTTAAAATGCAGTGTAGAAGCATCAGCTATAAAGCCACTTCAAATTTGTTTCTGAAATTTGTATTACTTACAGTTTACTTTTCTCTATGAAAAAAGAAATATTTTATTCAAGAAAATGCCTAGTTAAAATTTAATATGAAAAATTTTAAATAAACATAATGTAACTACAATTATCTTTTTTTGCAAACGAAAGTTGTTTAATGCATCTAAAAATAAGACTTTAAGGATACTATGCCACATAATACAGAAACATATTCCCATGTAAAATTAAATGGGGACTTACCAACTTGCAAATTCACCAAGATGTGTTGTAATTTTTCTGATGCTTGCATTTAGAGGTTTTATCTTGATTCATTCCTTTTTAAATTACATCCCAACAAATGGATCTCTCCTCAATAACAGTTCTCCATGAGAATCTATTAATGGTTTAACAAATAATGATCTCTTACAAAGATAAAAACTGCAAGTCGCTAAATATTCTGTGAAAATGTCAATTACAGAAGTTTTAAATTCAAAAATAAGATGACTCAACTCCACCTGATTTTGTGTTTCCATATCCTACCCATCCCCCCCAAATCTGCATTTGATTATGCCATTATACAGGAAAGTTCTCTCTTTTGAAACCACCCAGTTCCCATAAAATCAAATTAGTATTGTGTGTCCAACATTTGGGCTTCATCAAACTTCCTGACCACAAATCACAAAATGACAACAGATTCTGAGATCACTGAGGAGACAAAATGCATTGTAATGTCTATCAAGATGTGAGGCTGGAACTATCCAATCACAACTGATAAACATAAAGAGTTTAAAGTAGAAGCAAGTTTAAGTTTAGAATGTTTTAAGGGAAAAAAGCTATCCTCCTGTAATGAACCATTAAGAGAGTCAACCATAAAAGTTAGTTTCTACAGCTCAAGTTTAAACAATAATACTGTAAAGAGTTCTAGATAACATACACACACAGATTCAGTATCTTATTAATTCAATTAGCATCTATTGACTATATACTATGCTTTTGCACAGGATACAGATAAAAAAGAGATGGGCCCCATCCTCAGACAGACTAGGTATCAGACCACATCAATTGCTTGTAAGACAAGGTGAGCTAGAGGGCAAGATGGCAGGAATGCAGCTCATATAGGAAGGGTACTGGCTCATGGAACTTTTTTCAGTTATGGGAATATATATGCGCATACTAGGTAGTAGTACAAAAGGTATTTCTTATGGTGAGGTGCCATCAGGAAAAGGTTTCTGGAGAAAGTGAAACCCGTGAGTTAGCTAGTCAAAGAATGGAGGCTCTTCTGAACAAGAGAGCAAAATAAGAAAAAGTAAGGAAGCAGGCAAAGAAAACCTAAGTAAACCGAAATGACTAGAGTCATTGCATATGGAAGAATGGGGTAAAACATGTTTAACCTTTTGAGTACACTCACCTCTAAGAAATATATTTCATAATATTACCAGTACACACAGAAATATATGATATGAGAATGTTTTATAATCATTAAATAAAACATAATTGAAAAGGTTTAATAAAATATTTGCTCTTACTACACTGTTACTCTATTTTACCCTAGTTCACTCCATTAAAAATATATAACGTTGGTCACAGCCCACTAAAGGGATTTCATGACCCACAAGAAAAGAACGGTCTAAGAGCAAAAAACACTGTTAAACCATGCTAATGAGTTTGGACTTTGCACCAAACACAGTGGGCAACCACTGCAGGATTTTAGGGGGAAGAATGCCATGATGAAGTTCACATTTTGGAAGAACAGCAACACTTGGGTGGATGGATAAGGATGGACTTGGGTGGATGGATAAGGCTCCAAAACTGACTACATAAAATAAGCTCTGCTTACTGGTCACCCAGGTGAGAAAGGAGGGGGTGGGGGAAGACCAAAACAGTAGTGACTTATAAGGGGAGTATGGAATAACTGGGGTAAAGAACGAATACTTAGGACAGGAGACATGCTGAAAATGGGCAGATTAAGAATTTAATGAGTAAAATCAACAGGACTTGGTGATCAATCTAACAATCATGGCCATAGAAAAACTGATGCTGGGAGAAAATAGAGTTAAAGTCTATAAGGGAAATGGAAATGTAATGCTAATGATTTAGATATATATCTCACATACTCAGAATGTAATACTTTCCTTTTGCTATGGTAAGCAATATACTTCAGACACTCCTAACTTGTCCTTCATTTCCTGTCTTGGAAATGGTACTACCCCCTTCATGTATGTAGTCCCTACACCAAAAACCTACAGTCTGCCCTTTACTTTTTTTTTTTTTTAAGATTTTATTTGTTTATTTGAGAGAGAGAGTGAAAGAGAGAATATTAGAGGGGAGAGGGGAGAAGGTCAGAGGGAGAAGCAGACTCCCCCATGGAGCTGGGAGCCCAATGTGGGACTCAATCCTGGGACTCCAGGATCATGACCTGAGCTGAAGGCAGTTGCTTAACCAACTGAGCCACCCAGGCGCCCCTACCCTTTGCTTTTAACTGAGACAGGGCCAACGTCAATAACGCTGCTATGGCTATGACTCTAGGGTGGCTTCCTAAAGTTTGAGCAAAACAGTACTTCCTGTCAGAATTATTAGGTAATAGCCCAAGTCAAACATCTATGAGTCAAACTCCAGTCACTCACTGGCTTATGCTCAAGGAAAACTCCTACTTTACATTTTCAGTTATTAGAGCTACACTGCACCATAGCATTTCCAACAGGATGACCATTTTATCTAATTCAACAGCATCACCGACATCATGGAATCAAATCTCACCTATGAGGTACAAAAACAATGCTAGGCTTAAAACTCCATGTAATTTGGGGATAACGAATAATATCCCGAAGTTTCATAACTATAAAAGGTCATAAGATCATTAGATATTTTTAACATTGTGATGTCTGAAAGAATACAATCAACAATTCACAGGACAAACAAAACAAGCAAAACAAATCCCACAGAAAGTTCCCAAAAGAAAACAGTTAATATACGGATATATAAAACTTAAACTTAAAACTGCACCTTAAAATGAAGTTACAACTATATACTTTTAAACATATTTATATAGATATTTAACTTCTGATGTTGTCTACTCTGAAAATTGGCCAGGATAAATAATTCTACCCAAACTATCAAGCTACAGAGGCCCCTGGGTGGCTGAGTCGGTTAGGCAGCTAACGCTTGATTTCAGTTCAGGTAATGATTTCAGGGTCCTGGGACAGGCCCCGAATCAGGCTCCACACTCTTTCTGCCCCTCCCCTTGCTCCTGCTCTCTCTCTCTCTCTCTAAAATAAATAAATCACTTAAATATATATATATATATATATTTTTTTAATTAAAAAACATATCAGACTCTAGCTGTTTCTAATATTAGCCAAGGGGGTAATTCATTTTTTTAAATATCATATAGGTATTCAGTTTATTTCAAGAGTAGGAAATTAATCTTGTGGGGATATGAAAAAGAGAGCCACATTCAAATTATGACACAGCCTCCAAGCTGCCGTTTCTTTTCAAGCTTCCGTTTAGCCATCTGTAAAATGGTGATAAAAATAACTCATGGAATTGTTGTCATGCTTAAATGAGAAACTGCCTGACAAATGAAAAGCAACTCCCAAAACAGTAACTTTAAGGGGAGTGGGAGACAGGAGAGGAAGAGACAAATTAAGTTTTACTTCTAGTCTTGCAAACTCCAGAATCAAACAATGTTTCTGTGTCTCTATCTTTAAAGTCATGATACAATTTAACCATACCCCAGCTCTACTTCCTCTAACACTAAAGACTGAGAACACTTGTCAGGAATGAGAAGCCTCCCACAGCCCAGTCTTTCAGCTGTTATCATACTAGGAGCATAGAGGAAGTTTTATTTCCACATGTTGGCATGGGGTCTCATCAAGCAGAAAACTGAAAATAGAGATTTGATCTAAAATGGAGTGAACTAAAACCTTCAAACCAAAGTCTTTCAAGGAAAAGCAGAAAAGCAGAAGGGCTGGTAATTTAAGGACTAAAACACAGGAGCAAATCAGGACCAGCTTTCAGAAACTAATGAAGAATGCACAATTTTGACTCAATGCTGAGTTCTCCAGGAATTCTTTGTGAAAATGTGGGTAAGCAAAGTGTCAAAGCAGAACATACTTGCACCATCAATGGTTTCAAGAACCCACTTCTAGAACAAGTCCTTTAATCACTACATTCTAGGCAAAACTGAACATAAGCCATTGCTCCTCTGTGTGCCTGCTTCATGAGTGAAAAATAAATGTAAATTAATACCTCCATTAAAAATACTACACTGCAGTGATACACTTCATCGGAATTCCCTAACAGAAAATAAACGTAGCTTCGAAGGTGTGGGATAATACGAATTAAAGATACCAAATACTGCTTGAGTCAGTATAAAATGTCACGTGGGAATCTTCACTTAGAAGATAGGGATGTGGGAGAGGGTTAGGAAAGGCGAGAAGAACTAAGGCTGAATGTAGAGTAGGACAGAAGGCTACAGATAACCTTTGCTTCAAACACAGCACAAGGAAAAACCTTCAGATAAAGTAAAAGCCAGAAATGAAGAGGCTCTGATGTTTCCTGGACATGAACCTGATACGTTCTTCCAACAGGGAAGGGAAACTGGCTACCTACCTCTAGTACCCACTCCACCAAGACAAACTGAAAAACAACAACAAATCAGATTTCCTTCTCACCAGACTTTACCAAAGCAGGCACAGTTCAAGAACAATACTACCAAAAGAAATGATCACTCCTTACTTGCTTGAAGCTGAAAATCCTACAGGAGATTATTTGTTCCATAATTATGGATAAAAGGCTTAAAATCAGAAACCTGGCTGAGATCACACATGAGCATGTTAAAGTTAGAAAGAACTAACATAAAACTCATCAGCAAATGGCAAAATACTAATTTTTAACCTAATCTGCCCTTTTGTGGAAGCCGCAACAGTTAGATGAAGGGAGCAGATACCTAGTCGGCCTCTTAAATGGGATGATGTTAATTTATCTACCAGGTAAAGCACAGGGCAAGAGGAGGCCTAAATGGCAGAAGACAAACTTGGAAAATGTTACGTGTTTTCCTTAGGGTACGTCAAAAGAGGAAATAGGTAAATAAGCTACCATCATCCTAAGATATTTTTGTCAAGGTAGCTACCAATGAGAGCAGTGCTACATCTGTGAACAACTAGGTTTATTCAATTTACCAATGAATCACTATGCTGACAATAAAAAAGGGGTTTTTTCCCCATTTATTCTTGTCTCTTACCTGTGTTTTCCACTGATAACAAAAGAGTTCAAATATTTTCAGCTTAAAGCTCTTATTAAATAAGAGCTATAGGTGCACTGATTATTCTACTAGATGTTAAAATGTCATTTATACTTAGTGCACTTGAAAAATTGACTCTGAGCCCTAAAGTTTTACTGAAGCAATATAAAATTCCTTCATGCCTTAATACAAAAGTAAAACTGAGCTTAGGGAAAACTCCCTGGGAATAAAAATAGCTTTTCCTCTGTCTTCCCTGTTATACCTATTAATATGGATACTACCAGTATGTAGCCTTCTATGCTGAAAAAGATTGTATTGACTCACACTCAATTACAATCCCAGAAATAAAGCTCCATGGAGACAATACTAGACTTCTCAATTAGTTTCTTCACTAATACATGGCATTATTTTATCCATGCACTTCTCCACAGGTTCTGAATCGGGCCTTATGAATTAAAGAAATCAGGCAGTGGGCAAATAAGTAGTAAAAATTTTATGATTCATAATGATGATCACTTCTTCTTTAGAATCTGTTAAGCTGATGGTTACATGTGTGCATTTTAAAATACCTACATTTCTTGCATTAAATAAAACACCCCAGAGATGGGCAGTGTGACACAGTTACCATCATTTTATTGAAAATATGCTCTATTTTGGGACACCTGGGTGGCTCAGTGGGTTAGGTGGCTGCCTTCGGCTCAGGTCATGATCCCAAAGTCCTTGGATAGAGCCCCGAGTCAGGTTCCCTGCTTAGCGGGGAAGCCTCCTTTCCCCTCTCCCTCTGTCTGCCGCTCCCCCTGCTTGTGCTCTCTCTCTCTCTCTCTCTCTATCAAATAAATTAATAAAATCTTTAAAATATGTTCTATTTCACTGATTCCAACTACAGCTTCCAAAGTATTTTACATTTAACAGAAATCACCACAGTTTGAAGGGACCTAATATGATCCTGTTGGTTTACATCCAAAATGAGGAATTCTACACCAAATACTATTCCAAAAGTATAGAAATATATATACTTTCAGTTATATTTTGATATAATTTTCCCAATACTTCTGCAGGTGTATGTTTAAAATGTGCTCTTAACATGTTAAAGGGTTTTAAATTAATTACAAACTTAACACATAAAGCTCAAATGAGCCTTGAAGACTTTAGCCTAACTCCTTAGTTGTATAGATGAGAAAACAGGGTGAGTCACTCACCTATCCGTGACCCTACGGCTAGACTGTGACAGCAACGGGACTAGAATCGAGTTTTTCTTACCACTACACTAAATCTCATTTGGTTCTTCCTTCCAATTGATTTCTCTCCTCATCACTTCCTCAAAAATCTTTTTGCCATTAAGAGGTCGAACAACTAAAGCAACATAAAACGCTGCTCTAGATTTTATCTGTAAAATAAGTAAAATCTAAAGAAATGGAAGGATTTAACAAGCCATTGCGCAAAAAGCCAAGGAAGGCACATACCAAGCAATCATCAAATGGTAACTATTCTCATTCGTTATTATTATTATTTTTACCACAAGGAAGGTAGTGAATTTTTTTTTTAAGGATACATACATATTACCATCCTAGGCTGAGGATCCACTGACACATCATCTTTTTCAACTTGCGATTAATTATCCTCAGTTGTCTTTTTAGGCTGTAACTTAACACTATGATTTATGACCCACCCACAATGACCTTGATTTTTTTTTCCTCTTGTACTTTTATGGGACTGCCGTAACTGCAATATTTTCGAGTAATAACCGGTCCGGTTCTCTCAGCCCTAGAGATACAGACATCCTCCACTGACTCACAAGGGATTTTAAAATGTGACCCAAATATAGCTTGAGAAACCACAACTTTAAATGGACTCTACACTTAAAATCCAGCGACCTATTTATTATCGTGAATGGTAACAAGTGCAGACTGCTGCCACCCATAAGCCATTTTCTCAAAATCATTCTCAGATCTGGAGGGAGGGAGGCAGAAGGTCAATAAAGGAGCAAACTATTTCTGCTCCCGCCTAGTCCTCCGCAGCCTCACACCAGCGATCTGGAAATGAATGAAAGGCTGCGACAACACAGATAAATCCGGGATCCCTGCGCAGATCTCCGGGCAGGAGTGCAGAGAGGGAAACTGGAGTTCACAGGCGAGAAACTCCGGGCACAGATTTAATAAATTAAAAAGCAAAAGCGGGGGGGGGGGGAACCCAACCCTAAATCACCTCGGCTAGAGCAGGAACCCACCCCCCACCCCCACCCCCAGTTCTGGGAGGGGAGGCTGGCGGGCGGCTGCGGCTCCGGCTGCAGCTGCTCTGAGACCCGCGGGGCCCGGGAGAGCGGGGTTTGGAGCGGGAGCCCAGGCGAGGGGGCAGGTGCCGGGGGCAGGTGCCGAGAGGGGCAGGTGCCGGGAGGACCACGGCGCAGAGCGGGAGCGCGGCCAGGTGAGGACGGCGGGAGCCGGGCAGCGACGGCGGCGGCGGGGGCCCGGCGGGGCGGGGGCTGGGGGGGGAGGGGGACGGGGGCGGCCGCGTCGGCCCCGCGCCTGCACACACTCACCGGCGCCGGCGGGCTCGCCTCTCGCCGCCGCTGCTCTCGCGGCCGCCAGCCGCTCTTCCCCCTCCTCCTCCGCCGGCGCCGCTGCCGTCGCCCAGGCCGGGCCGCGCTCCCCTTCCGCTTCCGGGAGCCGGAGCGCCGGGGCCGGCGAGGTGGGTGTGCGCCCGCCCGCGCGCTGGGGCTACCGGCCGCCGCCGTCGCCGTCTGCGCTCCGTTGCCGGGAGCCGCGATGGGAGCCGCCGAGGGCCGAAAGAGCAGAAATCGCGCCGCCGGCGGGGGGAGATGCGCCGGGGCTCCAGGCCGCGTGCGGCGGTCCCCGCGCCGTCACCGGAACACTCGTACCTGACGCACCTCGTCGCCTCCGCCCTCCCCTGCTGCCACCTTCCCAGCTGTGGCCGGGCCGTCCTTCTCTTTGTCCCCACACCCCTCACTGTCCCCCTCAAAGGGGGACCGCAGAGGGGCCCTCGTGTAAGGATTGCCCAGTAACCGTCTTCCTTCAGGGACAATGGCCAACAGGCCTCTGTCTTCCGCTAAGGCGTTCTGGATGTCCCCTGGTACCTTGTTTCAAAGTGCGCCCGCAGCATCTGCATCCTCTGGGAACTTGTCAGAAATGCACCACCTCAGATCTGCTGAATCAGTATCTGCATTTTAACAAGATCTCCAGGTGATCCCTAAACGTGCACCTTAAGTTCTGAAAGGCACCGGATTCTAATGCCTGCCCTTGCCCTCTTCAGACCCTCTATGCAGTAGGAGCCAGGGTTGCCCCAGCTATCTAAGATGTTGTCGGTTCCCGTGGGCCACCTCAGTCCATACCCAAACCAGCTTAACTCGGTATTTAATGAAACATCCAAAAGTTGTCAGCTTTCCCATCCCTGCAGCCTAGGAAAGCTAAGTTGACCCAACATTGTAAATAATCAGTCCACCTCCCGGTTTAAGTGGATATCTTACCAAACACCAGAGACCTACTTTAAAACCTCCCTTCTCTTCCCTCTCCTAAGCCGAGCAGTACTTTGGATACAGTACTACACCGTTTGTGGTAATGTAGAGCTAAATCTTTGTGCTTGCATGCCACAGGAGATCATGTATGGAGGGAAGAATATTACTTGATACATAAAGTCTGAACTTCTTATAGGATGGCATTGAAAGTCCTTCACAAACTTGTCTCTACTTACCTGTGCAGTCTTAGCTCAAATGAACTTGGTTCATTTAGCCTTCCTAGGTTGCCCTTTGTCTTCCTCCCTAATGATCGTTATCCAAACTTGGGAGTCATTTCAAATCCTGCCAGCCCAGAGTACTCTCCCCCCTCCCTACTGTACTTAAATCACACCCATGAAGCTTATTTTGAAACCATATGTTACCTTGTATTCCTAGATATTTTTGAACATGTTATGTTCTGATGTATTTCAATTACAAACACCGTAGGACCTTAAAGACCTACACCAGTAGATGTCAAAGTGTAGTCCTCACACCAGTAGCATCAACATCACCTGTAAACTAGTGAGAGATCCACATTCTCCAGCTCCATAGCAGATATACTGTATTAGAAACTTCAGGGATGAAGCCCAGCAATCACCGTTTTCATAAGCCTTCCGGGTGATTCTAATGAGCACTCAAGTTTTAGAACTACTGACCTGGAATATTGTCTTTTACCCCGCCCCCAAAGGAACTCAGTGATTGGGATTGATTTGACTATATGCAAGTTTTATTGGCTTTCAGATTAAGCAATCAGCTCCTTCACTTATGCATAACTAGGCTAGAAGGCAGTGACAGTTGCTTTTGAAAGGATTGCCTTTGGTTTTCACAATGCATTTTATGTAGTAGGATCTTTATAACTTGGGTTTGTTTGAAAAGAAAGAAATAAAGGGGCGCCTGTGTCCAGCTCTTGAGTTTTGGTTCAGGTCATGATCTCGAGGCTGTGGGATGGAGCCCCACGTCGGGCTCTGTGCTCTGTGCTGGGTCTGCTTTAGATTCTCTCTCCCTCTCCTTCTCATTCTCTCTCTCTCAAATAAATAAAATCTTTAAAAGGAAGGGAGGGAGGAAGGGTGGGTGCAGGGGTGCCTGGGTGGCTCAATCTGTTATGTATCAGACTCCTGATTTCTGCTTGGGTCATGATCTCAGGGTTGTGGATGGAGCCCCATGTCTGGCTCAGAACAAAGTCGGCTTGAGATTCTCTCTCTCCTTCTGCCCCTCTCCCCTCTCACAGACATTCTCTTTCTCTCTCTCAAATAAATAAAAGAAGGAAGGAAACATAACTAGTCACTTTGGGTGAAGGAGAAATGTGGAATTTTACTTCCAAAATTCGAGTACCCATACTGCATATTATTTGGCTCTTTTTTAGTATACTATTGTGAGAAGGAATAATTTGCAGTAAATGATTTCAACAAGTACCAAAATGAGAATTAGTTGAGTGGCACGTGAGTGCTGTGACAATTGGAACTATATGTATTTTTTGTGCATTTTGTCATGAGTAAACCTGTCTCTGATCAGCCAAGCCCATTTCACAGAGAATTCTCTAAATAAGACATGGAAATAGAGAAGTGGCAGGGAAACCATTCTCAAAATCATGATCTCGTTATCATGGGCACTTAAGAAGTCTAATCAGGGGCCTATCGATAGGGCCCTATCAGGGTCAAGTCATAAGGATGATTGTCTTATGTTGCAACCCATATACTTGACTCCTATGTCATAATGAGAGGGTGAGGGAGATATGGCATCATATAATCTTTTTGAGAAGCTTTTCTATTTACTGTAAGGATGGATAGAAGATAGATATGCTATATTCTCCCTCCAGAATTCTAGTCTACTTCATCCTTCCTGTGACATGATTATTAATCAAACTAGTATTTATCTGGGAATTGAAAAAGTAGACAAGAACAAGCAACATGGCTACCACTGCCAACTTAGCTTCTCAACAAAGGCACAGTCAGGGCATTTATGTGGATAAACTCAGCCAACTACTGTGCTTCTGTGCCATGACGGGGGAGGACTGGATTTGACTACAATTTCCAAAAGTCAGTGCAAGTGCAGTCCAGAGTTTAATCAACACTGGCTAGTAGCCCTTGGCAGCTTTGGGTGGATGGCGTTCTCCACCTGCCCAGCTGGGTACCATGCCCTAAGCACCCACATTTGATGCACATTCATGATTTCTTGGTTGCTTATCGTCATCTCCCCCATCTGTTTGAGTGGCAGAGTGCCCATTCCAGAACAGTCTAATATTCTAATAGTTGTTCTTAACCTCTTTTGGGTTACACATCTCTTTGAGCATCTAATGAAAGTTAGGGACCCTCTTTCCCAACGAAACGTGTGTAAACATGTAATTATATAAACACATACATATATATTTAAAAATAAAATTTCAGAAGCTGCCCCACCTTCCCATGCCTCCCAAGGACCACAGTGAAGTCACAAACATCAGGCTAAGAATCTGCTTTAGGATATGGAGAGTGGGTGAAATAAACTTCTTTTTTTCAAATATCAAAGATAACTCTAAAAACCACTCTGTGCTTAGGAGATAGAACAAAAGCAATGCTAAGTGAAGTTACATTTGGGAGTGCTAAAGAAGCAGCCAGTTGTGTCAACAGAGTGGTTCAGGAGTGGCTTCCTGGAGAAATGTTCTTGCAAATAAGAACGGGACTTTGGAACAAAGGATCCCTCCAGCATAAGGGACAGGCTATGCAAAGGCATGGAAACATGGAAGTACAGTGGTCCATCTGGTGCGGCTCAAAAGTAAACTTCAGGGAGAGAAGAGAATCAGAAGGTAGAACAGAGTCAAATCACGTTGAGCCTCAAATTCAACACTATTTCCAATAAGCAGCCAATGTAAGCTTTTGGAGTACGGTAACCTGGAAAGACATTATTAGCTAGTGCCGTAGTATCATCAAAATGCAGAGCAGTAGGACATTTGAAAAAGTTCTCCATAGGGGCACCTGGTGGCTCAGTTGTTTGAGTGCCTGCCTCCAGCTTGGGTGGTGGTTCTGAGGTCCTGGGATCAAGGCCTGTGTCAGGCTCCCTGATCAGCCAGAGGTCTGCTTCTCCCTAGCCTTCTGCCCCTCCCCCTGCTTGTGTGCGAGCTCGCTCTCTCTCTCTCTCTTCCTCTCTCTCAAATGGATGGGTAAAATCTTAAAAAAAAAAAAAAAGAAAGAAAGAAAAGAAAAAATTTTCCATATCCTAAATCAGAGCCTATTAGTGAAGCCAAATGGTTTCATTTCAACTTTTTAGGGTTGCTTGATGTTTGCTCTAGAAGTTCTATTAAGCTAAATCAAAATGAGTTTGAAATCCTTACAGTTCGTTAAGTGCTTGTGAGAAAACATATCCTGGTGAAATGTTCAGGTGAATTTTGAATCCAGGACACTGAGTTAAAATTTATTTGGAATTGAAAGCATCAACTGGGAGCAAAAAGAGGAAAAAAGCCCTGTCACTGACCAGGCTGGGAAGAGAGACACAGATCGAGCCAGCTGCCAACTTAATAGCAAACACTGTTTCCGCCAAAGGTCATGTGGCAGCTGTAAATTACTATAGTGAACCCCACTCTTTGGGTGGTCACTGACCAGTGACACCTCAGACCACTTGCTGTTTTCATTGATTACTGGGAATACCCAAATGCTTGGTCAACTTCATCTCATGACAGCACCCAACTCTTAATTCCCTCTTTTTCTAATCCCACCTCAAAACAACAAATGATCCCCTGGCGATTCACAGACCTGTACCCCTGGGGATAAAAATATATTATATGTTTATAAAAAATAAAATTAAAAAAAAAGATCCAAAACTGATCCCTGTTTCTCTTAGACCATCTTCGAAATCTTTTAGTGAAAGCCCAATGTACATTGGGCTCGCCCCTCCTACTGGTCTAGTGGTACTTCTCTGAAGAGCCCTTTTTCCTTGAAGGGCAAGAAATCTGTTTTTTGGGTTTTTTTGTTTGTTTTTTTGTCAGGCTGCAGGCTTGTCTCTGGTAGTCTTTAGCTGATTAAGTATTAGCAACCCATTCGATAATGAAAGCCACCCATTGTCAGGACTCAAAAGTCAGGGCTCTTCAGAAAAGAGGTCTCCTTCTCTCTGTCAATGGCACGATAAAGTAGCTGCCA